TCTACTCTACCCCTCCCCTGAAGACGTAAATGGGTCTTGTTTTTCAAATTTGTTTCTCCATATGTTTTCCAAGAGTGCTATGGACTTCACCTGCACCGTCCAGATAAGAAGCCCACTTTCCCTCCCTTATCCTATCCCTCCTCCTTTGCTATCCTCAACTTCTAGGAAGGGGAGGGCACCAGAATTTCTATCGAGGTGGCCCTGGACCTTGCTTGAGGCCCCGTTTCTCCTATAAAACTGTGTTTACTGGCTGATAACATATCTGGGGTGGAGTTTGACTTTCTCGCTCTCCTCCCCTCTTAGAGCCCCCAGCAGCTGAGGTAGGTAGTTCTTCATCAGTCCATCTCCTTTCCCCTGGCTCTCACAGGAGACTAAAGGAGAGAGGCGTGGATATCTGACGCTTCATTGCTCTTCCCTAGCATCAGTTTTATTTCTTGGCCTTTTCTCTTTGTATGCATTTATTTTGTTGGGTTTGCTTGTTTCTTGTTTTGCTGAAGAGCAAATACAGGAGATTGCTCTGATTCTTGAAAAATTTTGTTGCCCTGCATGCCCCTGAATAGTCTCCCTGAGACTAAGATTAGGTTTTGCAACTAAGGAGGTAGCAACAAAGTGAAATTAATTAAATTTGGTGCAATCATATGTTAAAATTGATTTCCTGAAGAGTTGAAAAGATGTCTGCATCCACTCTGAGTTCTGCATTTGTTACTTGCAGTGATAAAATCACTGTTTTTGTAAATAGGGAGAAAAATCATTTGCCCCTTAGCAAGAATAACTGCAACACAAATCATTCTCTGCATAAAGTAGGCTGTCAAATATTACACGTACATGTCTGCACCATGGTATATCTATGTATAAGGGTATGGTCTGACTGGTATACACAGAACTAAATGCTCTCCCCTGCTTTGATGTGCGTATTTCTGAAATGCAAAGAGGCGTTATTTTATTTCTATGCAAACCTTGGCCTTTGCTTTCTTGCCACTGTTCTTGCTTCACAGTTTTGATGGTGTTTATGCATGGAGGTATAACACTGAGATCTTTAAAACTGGCTTCAGTGTGGCGTCATGCAGGCTTGTCTTAGCTGCTCAAGGTTCCTGTGAAGAGAAGAATGTTCTCACCCCTTGAAAGAAACAGTCCCCTTAGTTAACAGGGGAATTGCCTTAGTTAAAAGATAAATCAATAATCAGTTTCCTTCAGTTTACTATTTGTTTAATAAAATATATGGAAAGTACTTAAATGTATTGTGTTTTACTGCAAAAGTGTGTCTTGGTCTAGTTACAACTATAACACTAAGGTGTTTTATAAATAAAAAGGGATATGGATTCCTTAATTATTTTTTTTCCTCCCTGAGAATAATTATGTAATTTTGATGTCTGATTTAAAAAACAGCACTTAATTTTACCCATTAGGAGCTTCCAGTTCTTTTTATTAAAGCTAATCCTACTGTAACCTAACATGCAACTGAATTACTTGCAAACTTAACTTTATAAATACAAGCATTTTGTGTATGATAAACTGGGCAATGAATTTTCTTTAGGAATACATGAGGATATGACCCTGCAAAGGTGAGACCATACCAAACTAATAAACTTTCTGCATATAATAGCTAACTGTCCAAAAAAGAATTCACTTTTACATACGTACTCTATTTATCCAAGTACAGAGGCTCACTGCAACTGAATTGTATTCCATGGTGTCTCTGCTAGGCTTGTTTGAAGTTAATCTAGCCTTTTGATGAACTCATCACCTTTGACTGCAGCTGGGTAAAAAAGCACCGCTGTTAGGTGCTATAGCAAGTTGTGTTAGTGACAAACTCATAGCTGCCTTCCATGAGATGTTCATGAACTGAATGTGTGCAATGCTGATGGGAGCCATAAGTAGCAATAGTCTAGTCTAAAAGTGATAGCAACGTGTATCACATTTGGTAACTGTGTCCAAAATAAAGGCGTGCAATCTTCAGAGTAGGTGGTTCAGGTGTTTGTCCAAAATCTCGGTCGCAATGGCTTTGATTGTTAAGAGCTACTAGGTAATCTCCACTAGCAAAAGAACATTTTCCCATAAACAGGAGGGAATTTCATAAGCTCAAAAATTGGTATATTTAATTAAGTTCCTTCAGTAAATTGAAAAAATGAAAGGAGGTGAATCAGCCGGTTCCGTGTTCCTGGCTATGTCTTAAAGTACATATCTGGAAAATGGAACTGTACATTATGTTGAGACAGAGGCATGTAATTCAGGTCCAAATTTAGAAGAAATTTTCACCCTGGAGATCCCACTGGCTTATATCTGATTGTATGACATGTATTCAAGCATCATGTCCACATTCTTCCAACTGTAATGTGTTATTTTCCAACAGTCATACACAATGTTTGCTTTGAGATAGGGTCCATAGTGTGATGCATCGAGCCACAGTTTTCCTAGACCGGTAAGAGTATGATAATTGTATTAGATTGCTGGTAGATAATCCAGTAAGGAAAACCTCTTGGTATAACCAAGTGGTAAAAAATGAGCTGAAATTTCCTGGTATTTTCCTGTATATTTTGAAACATCAGATTTCTGGCAGTCTGGTGTTACAGATGTTTACTCATGAAAGCAAAAGATTATTTTGTTCATCCGAGCTAAAGACAAGCACAAAAGCAGGTACAATGTCTCTTTAGAACTGAAGTTTATTGTTGAATAATTAGCTAATGCCAGAATCACAGCCTTGGGTCCTCTTTCTGACACATTCATATTATTTATGAATGCAAAGCATTCCAGTTATTTACTGAACAGTAACTATAGTTATTGCTGAGATGGAGCAATAGAACTGAGTATATTTCGCCTTTCCTCAGCTTAGGAATATCCTAAGCATTAAAATTAAGTAGCAATAAGCTTTTTCTAAGCTTCCTAAATCACAGCAGTTAGTTAGGTATAAATGATGGAGTGCTGCTTCTTCAATTAATAAAATTGTACATTGCATCTCTAACTACAAGCTACTGGGATCTACACACAATTAAAATTCTATCATATGCTAAACTGTATGTAATTAAAATATTTGATAGCTTTGATGACCATTTCTGAAGTGAGAAAAATTACGTTTAAACAGCTTTATATTTCAAGCCAGTAGGATTTTGATTTTCTGCCTTAGAAGTGGTTTGCTTAATGAGTTTAGTTAATGAAGTCATTAACAAAAGGACTTTTTAAAAAACTCAGGACTGAAGGCCTTTGCCTTTGTTCTACCTGAGGTTTAAGTCTTAGGCTGGTCTTTACAAACTACTCTTTCCTTTTCCCATTTTCTGGTGCTGCTCAGAGGAGAGTCAGGCTCTGCCCAGGTGGCTGTGCAGGCGGCTTCCCCACGGCGCCGTGGGATGCTTCCCTCCCTGATTTACTGCTGGGGCACTTGGGTTATTTTAGCACCTGTGAGTTTCTGGGCTATGTTTGCTTCTATTGAAGTTGAGGACAGAAAACTATCTGACAACTTTTGATGTTAGGCAATTAATCACAGGGTAATACTTTTTAATCCTTTTTTTTTTGTCATTGTGTTTATTTAAGTGCTAAGCCATCCAGAAAGACCCAAACCAACAGGCTGATTTTTGTACTGAGATCAGTTACCTTCAATATAGGGAGTTATGAGGATTTCCATTGATGCAGCTTTTACAATATCAGGTTCTGATGCTCATATTTGAGTTTTTCTTATATCCAGTCTTTCTTAGTTGATTTATTATGCTTCTTACCCATGATAAGCCTGGAGGAAAAATGAGTGCTATGCTCTTTACAATACTGAAAGATCATTAGCCCTGCAGGCTTCTCCCTTCTCTCTTTTCCTTTACCTCTTTTCCATCCTAAACATTGTTTGCTATCTTTACCTTATAGAACATATTCCCCAGCAACTTATTGTTCCTGTTTTTCTTCTATGGCCTCATTCCGCATTGTTTATTATTCAAATATGGTTCAACAATGGCATATATATTCTTAATAAGGACTCTGATGTTTAGTAGATGTCCTGATTTTGACAGAACAGACACCTCCCAGATCTCATCAATGAAGCTTTTCTTACTATTTTAGAATGGCATTTGCCATTTTTCTCATATCCATATTGCTGGTTTACAGAGACAATGCTTCTCAGCTGACTTTTGACTTATCTTGCATGGAGACAGAAAGGTTAACTCGAGATCACTTGTATTGCTTAACAGCTTCTTTAGTGTTTTAATTTCTAGGTAACTCTGGTGAATGGTGGTGCGAGTCTGTGTCTGGAAGATCTGCTCTCATTTATCAGCAGGCAGCAGTAGAAATCCAAACCTCATGCAGGCACCACTGCCCTGAGTGTTTCTGTTCTTTGCTGGTTTTGTCAGCACTATACTAGTGTGTGGTTATGTGTGTGTGTATGTGTGTGTGTGTATGTAGACTTCATGGTTAGAGGGTGACTCTTGTGTTGTCACAGCTGGTTTGCAGGGTTGGTGGGTTGGGAGGAGGTGATCGGTTGTGCAGTGATGGTTGGGTTACAGGCGCTGCCATCAGGCCCCAGGAGAGCCCACGCGCCACTCAGCCTGTCTGTCTTTTTTGACATCTCACCATCTCATTCAGCATAGTCAGTAGAAGGTGTGTTGCCAGGTCTTTTGCAGAAAATTACTGAGGTACAAAAAAAAACCTTAATGCAAGGATTTTAGATAGATAAGGGGTAATCCTTAAAGATAATGAGACGTGATATTAGGCAAAAATGACATGTCAAAAATGTATTGGGGCACAGTGCCTGTTGGATACAGGACGCTTATTTGAATGAGCATTTGTTGGATATGTCTTGTGCATAGTGGAGTCTTAACTGTGAATAATTAAATATCTGCCTACTGCATGTGGGCTTGTTCAAAGGCCAAATACAGGTAGATACACCATGTGAGGTAGAAAAGGGATCCTGAGAGCTGCTGTTGCAATGTGATGCTGCAAAAGTAGCTGAATATTTTGATGTGTTTTTCTGATGCACCCTTTTTGAATTTAAAAGATGCAAATTCAAGCAGAGTCTTCTTGCATAGGAAGCAGGGCACTGCCATCAATTTAGACTTCTCCAATGTGTTGCAGGGCCTGCCCACTGGAAGGAGGTTTTTCCTGTTGCTAATGGAGACCGTCAGTCACCTATCGACATCAAAACTGAGGAAACGAAGTATGATCCCTCTCTCCGTCCTCTAAATCCAAATTACGATCCGGCTTCTGCTAAGATCATCCTTAACAATGGGCACTCCACCAGTGTTGAGTTTGATGACACCGTCAACAAATCAGGTTTGTTTCTTTCCTGTTGCACTGTGTCTTCTTCCACCCTTTCCTGAATAGAGCACATACAGCCTGGGCATGTCTCGCTGCTGTGTATGAACTCCTCATAAACAGTAATGCTTCACTTCTCTGGATACGAGATTCCTTTTCCCCGTCTTTCAGCATGACACAATGTGGGAACATATTTGGACACGACTTCGAGGTTGCATTTCTCAGAAAGCGCTAAGATTCCCTTTTCACAGGGATGGTTTGATCCACCCCAACCAGCTAGATAGTGCCAGCCCCCCTGTTTGAACAGTGTTGTGTACAATTTTTCAAATGCTGCTCTCTCTCACTGCAGATGAATCCTTTGTGTCTCATTACAGGTTCATTCCAACCGAATCGCTCAAGTCTCTTATCTGACTTTAGCTGCAGGTTTGGTTATCTACTTTTTCCCTTTTTACAATAAATACCTGTACTTCTTGTGTCAGGAAAGAGCCATTACAGAACAGATGAAATATATTCCGAGTGGTCCCTTTTCTTCTCTGAAAAGTGTTATTGTCCCAGTCTTCTCTAGAAGTACATAGCTTCCCTTTTTGCCAGCAATAATTCTTATTTAGAAGTTCTCTGGTTTAGCATAGTCCATGTAATGTTGGTGCGTTCATCTTTAAAACCTTCTCTTGGATGGTAGACAAGCTAGCACGCCTTGCCTTGAAACTGTAGGAGTGCAATTTCTGTGAGCAACAAAATGCTCCTGTGGTTGCGTGAGCTTAGCTGAGGATCCAAGTCCATATGGTGCATTCACAAGGGTCAAAGCCAGAGGGGGACTAATTTGTGATCACCCTGTCCATTAGTCCTGAGGAACTGTTGGCTTTTAGTGGCAACAGCAAGACACCTAGATGGAGACAATATTATACTTTTCTTTCTTAAATTTCCTGCTGATACAAGCAACATTGGATGTTGCCTGAAAGCCACCAGCTGACCGTCAGTGATCTGGTCCGACCTCGTGCATGTCAGATGCCACGGGACTTCCCAGAATTAATCTCTGCTTCCAGCCTAGTAGGCATGAGTGAACTAAAGCACATCTCTTAGAAAAATATACAATCTTGATTTCAAAATTTCCAGCGATGATGAACCTACCACAGCCTTTGGTAAGTTGTTATAATTGTTAATTACCCTCACAACTGAAAAAATCAAAATCACACTTTATTTCTGGTGTGAGTTAGATGAACTGGCCTTTAAACTCGTTTGGGTTTGGGTTTGTTTTTGTTTTTGTTTTTTTTTGAATGATAAATATGAATATGAATACACCAAGCACTTCTTCCACTTTCTAACTCCATCTGTGAAGTGACAGGGCCTGAACATAGTATTTCTGTAGGTTTACAATGGTACCAAAGCAGAGGTAATGTGATCCTCTTCTTACTGCTTTCCTCAGGCCATATCTCCAAGGATATAGTTCATGTCATGGCAAAGCACTGCCAGATGTTGAACAGATACTTAACAAATGTAATTGCCAGTCCCCTTCAGGAGGCTCCGTATCTTCTATGTATGGACTAGATTCTTCAGTCCATATACATGGCTTTACACATTGGTCATTATCATGCTTTACTTATCAAAGAATTCAAATCTTTCTGTATCCATAAACTGAGTTATTCACTATTTTCCCTCGTATTTGTCACCGACAAACTTTATCAGTAATGTTTTTGTTTTCTTTCAGGTCATTGATCAAAAAATACTGAATTTTCTAGGGCCAAAATTTGGCCTCTGGGGCACCCCTGTGAAGTAAGCACTCCTGCCATGTGGTGGTTTTATTAAAAAAAAATATTAATTTGTACTAAATACATTAGCATTTTTTAATACATTATTAACCAAGTTCCATATGAACTATTTCTTCACTTTGGCCAATATTGAAACCAGGCTGTCAAGTCTGTAACGGTTTTTGTAATTCTATTTATCCTGTTTGGTACCACATTAGCTCTGTTCTCTGAAATTGGTCTGTTGATGTTTCAAGGACCTCTTCTAGCTCTTTTCAAACATTGAGATACTGATATTTGTCTTAAATAGCTTCTGACTAACCTCTTCCTTAATTGCTGCTGGAACGGAAGGGTTTTACCATCACTGTATGATGTGGTACAAATACATCACCAGACCATTTCCCACATTTTTCAGCAGAAGTATTTCATTGAACGCTTATGCATTTCTACGCAATTGTTTTCCCTCAGCCAGTTAGAATGCCGATCTTTACACATTTCTGGGATCATTTGCCTCCAAATTTTGAGTCCTTGAAAGAAGGCATTTGTTTTAGGAGTGCCACTTCCCCATCCCCTTTGTTCACTAGGTTTATAGGCTCTATAAAAGCGTGGTTTTAAGTTGAAGTTTGAAGGAGGTCAAATGTTTTTCCCCACAGATAAACAGCTCCAGTTCCTTTTCATTAGCCAGGCTACTTCTGTTAGCAGATAGGCAACTTAAGAAATTCGTTTTTTATCTTTTTTGATGAAGTTTAGGTTTTGGACTCAACTTAGAAGAGAGAAAAAATTACTGTTGTCCTCCCCAGTGCTCTTGATTTAAACACCATCTGGTTAAAACTCCCATCCTTTCCCTTTAATATCTCTATAATGAGCCAGTAAACCAGCCCAGACTAATCCCCAAACCCTCAGATGAGATATGGAGCCGGGAGAGTGTGGTGATTTGTTTTGCAGTGAATAAGGCATCTTTTTGAATGTGATTCACGTTCAAGTCTCTGTGCAGATGTGGTTTGGTTCCAACACTGATTAGCAAAAGACGAGCACTTGCAAAACCAAAACAATGAAAAGTCCACTCATATGAGTGTTAAGTTGAAATAAATAGCTAATTAAGTCTCAGTAGGATTTCATATATAGTGTTGGCTTCATTTTATTTATTGTAATATATGCTTCTTTTTCTCTGCCTTCAATCTGATGTAACCGGATCCAGTTGCAAATGAAGGAAAGAGCCTTGGAATTTTTTTAAAGCTCCACCTATTTTCCTCCAAATTTCAAAGAGGAGAAGGAGTTCTATTCGCATTATATCTTTCTGATCCTCCCCTTTATTCATAAACCTAGATTTTAAGCTTAATTTCTCAGAGATTCTTGTAAATACATTCAAGAGAGGAAACCACTTGCAAGATACAACTGTTTTCCCATCTTCTGAGAAATATCCAGCCCATAGCAAGACAAACCTGGTGATAACAACATACCCTTTAGTGGGCCACAACCCACTAATCTACACATAAATGGAATTTTGAAAGTCATGTCATAGAATCATGTATTCATATCACAGAATCATATCATATTCATATCATAGAATAATTGTCCAGATATCCTGGTCCAGTGAGGGTTCCTGTAGTACTTCAAAGAAATGGGAAGCCATCTGAGACAGCTTTTGGGAAGGAGTGGGGGACTGTCCGACTGAAGTCTGGTGTGAGGGTAGAGGATGTGGGTAGCGGCTTCCGTTCCTGCAGTGAAGCCTTTTGCTCTGCTTGGGTTTGCAGTGCTGACCGGGGGACCACTCAGCGGGACCTACAGGCTGCGCCAGATTCACTTCCATTGGGGGTCCAATGACGAAGCCGGCTCCGAGCACGCAGTGGATGGGATGAAGTACGCAGCAGAGGTAAGGCTTTACATGGAGTCGTCTGGACCTCTAAGCTTGTGTCTAGTTTTCTGTTGTAAGAATAATGTTGCCCCTCCTCTGCCCACTTCTCCTTCTCCCCCCGTTTTATCAAAAGACAAGCGGTCTTCCTGGAGTGTTGAACATTTGGTCCTTTCTCAAAGGAGAACATATTTGAAAGCTTTGGAGAGGATTAAAAAAGGAGTACAGAAGACAAGAGCTTGATAAGAGCAAGACTTAATGTTCAAGAGTTATTTTAAACTTTGTCTTTCACTGTCTCTTCCTTGGAAAATATTTTCAAAGTCAGCTTCAGTTACAAAGCACAAAATGATTTGATTTGGGGCCTGTGCAGTGTAAATTTTATACAAGACATAGGAACGTTGCATTTTGTGGTGCATTTAGCGATGTGATGGTTGTGATTTTGAGAACCACACTTGATTTCTATGGGGTGCCTGCTGTCTCTGGGGGTACTGCCTTTCAGTGGAGGCAGAGTACTACAGGGGAGAAATGCACTGTCTTCTCTGGCACAGAGAATTCACTCCTGCTCTGTCTCCCTTGGTGGGTTTGAGTAGTCTACAGTAAAAAGTATTCAGTATCTGATTCCTCTTTGCAAATGGAAGTAACATGGAGTATTCTGATGAGACTGAGATCTTTAACAACAAATGTTTCAGACAGTGGAGAGTTTTCTGGGGTTAAAAAGAAGTAAAAAGTATAGAAGTAAATGGTAATGGACAAATAAAAGACATAATACTAAAGAAGAAAAAAAAATATATGCACAGTGGTGTGATCAGATTTTACTGGAAATGCTGTAAGAGATAGTGGTCAGAAAAAAAACAGTTTTCTAACACTAATGGGGAAAAGTGACATTTGCAGTGTTTAAAGGCTTATGTTTTCCACAGGAACCAGGTGAGATGGAATATAAAGAATTAATAGAGGTGCTTTAAAACCATTAAGTACCAAAACCAAATTTCTAGCTGAGAAAATATGTATGTTTCCCATCTAAGAAACCAAATGGAAGGAGAAAATATCTCTGAATTTCTAGCCAGTCTAAAAACCTTTCCGTTACCTGTTGGTTGGGTAACCCTCCACAAGAAGCTGTCTAGATGGCATTTTGGCTTTGGGATAAGAAACCCAGAATTAAGATCAAGGCTTCTGAGCACAGTGCACACAAAAGAAAATACCTCAGAAGGAGACATGAAGATGGTTTCAGTGCTCACCTTCATAAGGAAGATGTGTAAGATTTTGAGAAAAAGCATCGACCAAGCCGAAGAAAGAATTAGTGTACAGGTAAAGAAGACTGCAAGGTTCAGCCCCCTAATCCCACCGGGAAGCAGAAGGGATCCATGGCTCCATTCTTTCTGACAACGTATGGTCTGATCAAAGTCTCTTCACAAGCTACAGTGACAGAGTGGTGGTAAGACGGGATATATTCCTTAAAGAGAAGTCACAAGCCATTGAGAATGGGGATGTATCCAAAAGCGTTTCACAGCTCTGTTTGTTTGGGGTTTCTGGATTTTAAGAGGGTTGGTTTGTTGGGTTTTTTTGGCAAAGCTATGAGAGAGTGGGAGTGGGCTTTATTTAGTTGCAGGAATTTTGCTTTGTTCTTTGTTGTTTTTTTGCTTTTTTAAAAAATCCACAATAAAAGTCAATTCTGACTGAGAGTATCTGTTTCCTTTTTGTGTATGTAAACATGTAATTGTTTAAAAGTTGTTCAATGTAGCTTTTGTGAGCTTGTAATAGTGAGTGGTGCAGGTGCCATGAGCTCCAGGACACTAATGCATCTGAGAGTGGTTTAGTGGACTGTGTTCTCCTGATTTAATTTATACAAATTTTAGCGACTTTCCTTCAAGGATCTCTGAAGCTGTGAGCCAGCATGTGTTTCATCGTGAGCCTACATGGATTATTATTAAATTCAGTGGGAATCCTTACTTGCTGGAAGTAATGTTTAGCCCTTCAAAGTCCAAGTGCTTAGCAAGCATTAATTATACCCTGTAAGACCAAGTTATGGCTCTGTTTCACAGATATGGAAAATTAAAACTCTTAGACGTTAGGCAAGGATTGAGATTTACAGTCAAAATCTTCACACTCCTAGATCCCTATTTCAACCAGGCAGCTATGTTGCTTCCCATAGCAAGCCTTTAAAGCAAGTTCCAGCTTTCCTAAATTGCTCTTCCTTTAGAGGTCTTGAAGTGCTGTATTCCAAAAGCAAGCCTTTTGTTTTTTTTTCAGGGGTTCATCCCAGTTTAAGTCATTCAGTGGAGCTGCTTTTCAGCACTCCTAAAGAGTTAAGTTCAAAGTCTGAAAAGATGATCACCAATTTTAGAAAAGGCAATCCCGTGCCCTGTGTCTGACCCTCTCTTATCTAAAAACTATGGATAGTAAGATTTACTAATCCACCGAGGACTTACGAGGAGAGTAATTAATGTTTGTGAAGTACTTAGTCTTAAGCTCTGTGTGAGTGTTTGTGCTCTCTCCAGCTTGGCAGTCGGACCGTTGCTCAAGGCTGGGATGTCCTAGCGCTTCCCGGGAACCCGGAGCTCCTGCTGCAGAGCGTGGCCAGGATTTAGGAAAGCTGGCTTGGCAGGAGGGACTGAGGTGGTATGGGGGTAGACATCGCCGGCTTTTCCTTTCCCCACCTGGCTAGATGGTGTCTCAAAGCTGCTTAAGCAACTACCACGGGACAGTTCCAGAATAATGCATGTTGGGCATGCAAATGCTCAAACCTGAGATAATCGAGCTGCTTGTAAGTGCCTAGCTACTGGTAATCACGGAAAATGACATTTGGAAACTATCAAAAATGAAATTTTTATGTTCAGCTTAAATTAAACAAGGGAAAAGGGGTCAGTGCAAGTTTAATGTGTGTTCCTCTGCCGGTTTTCTAGCTATTTATGTGGCTGATTAACGTTACTGAAAGCTTGATTAAGGAAAAAGAGGAGCAAAAAACTAATGACATCCTCATAATTGTCAATCACCTTTTAAAATCAGCTGTACTAAAAATGGTTTTAAAAGCTTTAGTTATATAACCATGGGATATCTTGTCCTAGCTTCTCTGTTCAAAACCTGGGGACTCAGCAGCAGTTTGCCAGGCACTGTGGTCTGCTGATTACTGCTAAATTTTGAATAATCCCAGCCACTGGAAATGCTTTTGCCATTTGTGTGAACTGCATATTTATCAATTCCGTGAAATATTTGCATTTAGAAAACTGAATGACTGGATACAAAAGAGTGAAGTAGAATATCAAAACCAGTAAAGTTGTAATATTAATTTGTGACTATTTGAGTTCAGCGGGAGTTGATGCTGTCTGCGTCTCTTGCTTTTCAGCTTCATGTGGTCCACTGGAACTCAGAAAAGTATTCCAGTTTTGTTGAGGCAGCTCGTCAGCCAGATGGGTTAGCAGTCATGGCTGTATTTCTGAAGGTACGAAAAGAATACCTCAGCCCTCCTAGTAAATCTGCATCATGAGCCCAAAGGGATAATGGTGATCATTGGTATAATTATTGCTAAAGAGATACTTGTTTTATATGGGCATTAAATTATGCTATTTTCTTCATACCGTTTACTTTCCAATATAGAAAACTGTGCATCCTTGAAGATTAAAAATATCAGATTAATAGATCTTCAAAACAGTGAGACTCTTCAGTTTGCCTAGTCTGCACTCCTGTACAACATAAGATATGGAACTTAATTCAGCTGCCCCTATAGGGATCCCAATAACTTGTGCTCAACTAACAGGTTTCTTTAGGAGGGTGATCTCATTTGATTCAAATGCATCTTTAACAGTCTGTTTCTGAGCTGATAGTTTCTTCTGAAAACTGAAAAAAAAAAACCACCACAAACAAACCACCCTAGAATCTGGAGAAGTTCCTTGTAATTGCTATATACCTCTTTGCCTCCTGCAAGTATTCTAAGACGAAATTCAACTCTTGCAACAGTTTAATTGACTTCTGTGCAAAGAAGCAGATGGAGAATTCACACAATCCGTGACAAAGGATAGGACTTTGGTCAAAACTGTAGTTTCTGCCTGGCTGCCACAGCTTCCTGGGCTCAGCTAGTGCTGGTGCTGGTGCTGGCGCAGTCAGCGTGCCTTTACATGCAGCAGTTGCAAAGAACTGCTTCAGTAATTCTGTCTTTCCAGTTTACATTAGAATGATTCAAGGGAAGTTTCACTGGATTTCTTACCACACAAATTCTGCTTGGGCTACATAAGAATGATGTTTTCACTGTTTTAAGCAATTTAAATTTCAGATGGAAGCCTGAAAGTTTTAATATCCTGCATATAAAACATGAAAAATAAATTGCTTTTACTTCCCTGCAGTGTAAAGTTTGTGGGTCTTTTGTAGCTGAAATAATTACTATGAGTAGCCAGAATAAATACTGTGAGCAAGGGAGTGGATATTCTTTACAACCAGTACTACTTCTAAGGTCTAGCTAGTCACAGGCTTGTACTCACAAAATCCATCAGATCTCACAGTCACTTAAGTAAAGTTATATAAAACAAGTTCATTATGCATTTGGTTTTTGATTATTTATTTTTGCTATTTTGCTCTGCTATTTTTCTCAAGTATTTCTTTTTTCTCTGGTGTTAATAGATTGGTGAATGCAACCCTCAGCTGAAGAAGATTACTGACCGCTTGGACACCATCAGAATCAAGGTGAATAAATGCTTCTAAAAGAATACTAATACTGCTGGCTGCTTTTGTTGTTTTGGGTTTTTTTGGGTAACCTGGCTGCTACTTCCTTCACCTTCATGTTCCCTAGTCTTTAGTTTCATAGCTATCCATATCCCAACTCTGATTTGGGACGGTTTAGGAGCGTTCTTGTTAGGTAAAGTTGAAAACTTTTGTTAGGTAAAGTTGAAAACTAAGCAAAGAATAGGTGTTATACACTAAGAGATCAGAGGAAAAGGCTAATTCTTCACAGAACCAAGTCTCTGACAAATCTGTTGCTATGACAATAGTAACAGAGAAGAATATACTTTACGGAAAGTTGTGAAAAAGATGCGGGAAAGGTTTCCTCCCCTGTTTTGCTGAGGTACAGGGTGAGAAATAAGCTATTGTTTGTGTGAGAGAAATCAGCCAAACTCACAACATCATGTTTCGTACGGGTATCTCTGGCCTGGTAGATGGAACAGGGAGAAGCAGTAACCCATGGGCTTAGGAGGAGTGAATGGGGAGGGGAGCAGGTGGCAATAACCTGTGGGGTTACTCTGCCAGCCCCATAGAGACCACATGGAAAATCTAACATCTTCTCACCTCTCCCTCCAACTTCCATCTCATGATCATTTGTAGCTATGAGGAGCCTGTGCTAACATGACACCTTTGATGGTGTCCTGCTGGCATCAAGGATAGCAGCAGTAAAGCTGTCACAGAGGTGAGACCTCATCAGAAGGGCGCTGGCTCACCACTGCGATCATCCAGGATGTGCCAGCCCACTCAATAGTGGAACAAGCTCTACCTTCTTCAGCATGATTTATCTTGGCCTCTTGCTTTTAAATAATATTGCTCTGGGGTTTTGTGTGGGTTTTTTTTTCATATATACTTTGTGTAAGAAATACATTTCTATATATAGTTAATCTGGAATCACAATGAGCTGAGTTTTTTTCTTTCCAGGGTAAAAGAGCACTATTCACAAACTTTGATCCTAGCTGTCTGCTTCCCAAGTCTCTCGACTACTGGACTTACTTTGGCTCTCTCACTGTTCCACCTCTTCTTGAGAGTGTCATCTGGATTGTTCTGAGAGAGCCCATAAGTGTTTGTTCTGAACAGGTATTTTTTGATTTTTCACTGCTATGGAAGTGTTGCTTTTGTAAGCCTTGAAACTGTAAATGCCGCCCAAAAACATATCTTTCACAGACCTTGGCATTGCATACCTTATCAAGTTTTCAAAGGACAAAATAAGTCTGTCTTATTTTGATAAGTCTGACTTCTTGTTACCTTTCTTTGCATAACAGCTATTTATTATCCATTTAAAAAAAAGAAAAATCTGCATACTCTAAAAAGACAGTCAAGAATAACCCACAAGGAACTTACAGAAAAAAAGGTTCTGATGATGCTTAGAAGTCTTGGAATTCCATTCGATTCAATTATTTGCACATCCTGCCCAAACCTCTTCTCTGGCATTTTTATTTGACAGATCAATAGTAAATTTCTTCTTGCATTCCAGATGTGTAAAACTTGGTGAATTTACTAGAATAATGAAAAGCAAATACAATTGTAATAAGTTGGCTTTTATGTTAGGCTATCTTAGGAAAAGTGTGATACCACATAGAATAGTCTGCTTACATTTCTTATTAAATTAAGCTTCATGCTATGTTACTGTTGCAACAGTGACACCAAGTGGGCTGATCATCTTAGGAATCAAGAATTTTTCCCATTGGAGACACTGCAAGTATGTCAGAACATAGTTTCTAATATTGGATGTTGATTAAGTACATCACCTGCAATATGTTGTCAACATTCTGGGCTCACTGTAAACCTTAAGATTTTTGTACCACAGTGTTCGTCTAGTTCGTGGTCGGTATTACCAATACCGCAGAAAATTCAATACCCAGGCCGCATACGCAGCAGAAATGGTGACTTCAGTCTTTCACTGAATGGAACACTTGTTAGTCAAGAAACCTCAGATTCTGTTTGTAACTGATTGGAAGTAATACATTTGCTCAATGAGTCCATTTTTCTCATCTGTATCTCTTCCCCGCTCCCGTCAATCTGGCTTCGTAAGACTCACGACAGTGCATATGAATCTAGGATTGAAAATTTGTGTTAAGACACCAACAACCCAAAGCCAAGCCATTGTTCAGGTTAAAAGATTCTTGTTTGGGCTAAGCTATCGTTAATACATTTTAAGATGTGAAAAAACGTATGCAAACACTCATGTGTAACAGGTTCAGAGAACACGGTGTCAGAAACGATGTCAAATACGGTGATTCTTTACTAGTCATTTTTCACGGACTGTAGCGGTATCTTATGTATTAAAGTATAAACTTGCTATATTCTTCTAAATATAAGCATGTATGCAGCTAAAAGTGTTTCCAGTAATGTCCACCATTGTGATTGATCAGTCATGGCCATGACTGATACTGTTCTGCCATTTAATTTTATTTATCAAGTTTGTATTTCTTCAGGGCTTTACAGTTTAACAGTTTACTACCTACTTTTTGATGAACTTTTAAAGTTGAAAGAAATTAAAAAATAAATTTTAAGTTTTTAGAAACTCACAGGGAGCCTGAATTACAAATATTAGCTTTAGAATGGGGTGAAGTAAGATAGCAAAGATGTTTTTTGCTCTTAGTGAAATTAAGATGCAACGTACCGTACAACTAAATGCTCTATTATAGCGGAATGGTTTTTGTGCTGTCCAACCTTTGTTAACGTAAATGGGTGGTATATAGAAATAGTAAATATTGGAAATACTAGAAATCAGACAAAATACTGAACTTCAGGTCATAAATCAGATTTGGACTTCCCAAGGTTTCGACATGGAGCCCTGATCTGGGTTTCTGCTAAGATCAGCTTAAATAGAGAAGCTTATGCTGAGGGTTGAATAACTGCTTGTTCTGTGTCTTCACAAGGGAAAAATTTGGAATCTCTTCTGGTTTGAGTACATGTTTAATATATGAAAAGTGCTAATTAAAGAAGCTTTCTGTAGCACCACACCTACTATTACAGGTTAATTGTGAATATGCTCTTGGAACAAGAAGATGTACACAGGTGCACATAAGAAATCTGATTTTGGGCATGAAATATTCCAGAATCTCCAAACTATAAAATCTAAGTAAAAAATATGAAACCCCTTGGTTTAGATCAGGTTATGGAAGACAAAGTGTAAATGTAGGAAACAAATAGTCCTTATGCACACTTTCATTCTGACATGCATTTTGGGAGATTTTCTTGGTAGTTGTCGTTTTTCATTTGCAAGGATAGAAATAGTGAAATTGCCATTCCCTACATGCCATAGAAAAATACAGTTCCATTCTTCCTGGTAGAAAAAAGGTGACAAGTATCTTTAATATTTGCTACATGCTTTTTCATTAGTATGAGTGTGAGGGTTTTCTGTTGAACCTTGTGTCTCTTGATTGCAGCTAGCCAAATTCCGCAGCCTCCTGAGCACTGCTGAGGATGAAGTCGCCTGCTGTTTGCTGAGAAACTACCGGCCTCCCCAGCCTTTAAAGGGACGAGAAGTCAGAAGGAATTAGAGGAGTAAAGCCGGAGTAGTCTCCCTCTGAAACCAAAGGCTGAATTAATTTTAGTAGTTAATATACTTTGTGATTTTTAGTTCTTTTTTTTTTGTGCGTTGTTATAACAAATAGGTGGTGTTTTATTATTGATTACTATGCAGTCGTTTCTTAAAGAGAAGTACGTCCTGAGTTGTTGCAGGTTCATCAGTGTTAACAGTCTGACTGCGTTTGAGGGCATTGGTTTGGGAGCATCGAGGCGTTAGCGTTGCGTGCATAGAGGGCAGCGCTAACCGTAAGGGTCAGATGTGGTGAAGGAGTTGTCCAGAATTTGCCACTAAATTACTGAACAGGTTTCCTGACATTAATGGCAGTAAAGGATGTTCTGGGATTGTTCTTCTCGACTCTAACATAACATTTATTTTCTGTATAAGGCTTCACACTGTAATTCTAGAGAAAAAAATATTTCAAGGCTGATATAATTTCATTGCTGACTTCTCCTTACCATCCTACAAAAAGCAGTAATGACTAACAGCATTTAAGTAAAACAGATGTTTATATGATCTTGTTATTCTGACTGGTTCACAGCAATAATGATGTACTGATTGATATATTTTTAAAAAGCAAATAGTAAAGATTTTGTATATTGCAGGATCATGTCAGGTGGATTAGGTGTTCCTGAGTTCCACCACATACAGTGACAAAATTGTCCTGAAACCTGAAAACTGCAAGGTGGAAGGGCATAGAGAGAACTGTTCATCCCTAAATCCTGTCTGTTGCATTTGGTGAACAATAGTGAACTGTAACGCTATCTGCATTTGGCATCAGACTCCTACCACTTAAAATCAGGAGGCAGAGGTAGCTGTTGCTCCAGACTGTTTCATACCAGCTACGTGGCACGCTGCGAGGTGAGACACGTGCTGCATACCTCACATCGTGCAGTGGAGCACAGCACTACTCGGGTATGTAATGTCTCCTAGGTACTAGCTGATGTTCTGCTGTCATATCTGAACTTGGGTGGTTGCACTTATATTCCAAGACTGAAGATAGCAGTTAGAGCAAGCCAAAGAAATCAGAATCAAGTCAATATCTAATAAATGATCACCCCTCAATAGCAATATGTTGAAATGTCTGTCTTTATGAATTGACATGAGCCTGTGTTTCTCTCAGGAGCTTTTGTTATCTGACTATAATTTTTTAGTTTATGCCAAATTTATTTTTATTATTTTTAGTGAACTTGCTATAGGACGTAGCTTAGTATAGGACTATATTTACCCTCAGACTAAGAACTACATAGTGAAAACGAGTGATACCTGAAATAGACAGCTAGAGGTGTCATGGGCAGCAACTACTATCAGTCTCTGTAGTACTTACGACCAACTCATCTTCCATGACTTCTCTCCATGAATTTGGGTTTTTATAGGCTGTGCCTTTTACCTCAATAGATCTTTTGATCTTAGATGGACAAACATGAGGGAAATCACAATCAGGGTTGACTTTATATACCTTCTTATAACTGAATAAATTAGGCATAGAGACATAGATATTTTAGTTTAGTTTAAGATAGGTGGATTTTTTTGTTTTCTCCTCCCCAGAATATAGCTACTATTGCTGCAAGGCCTCTCGATGCCTTCTGAATGTTTTCTGAAGGAAAGAACATAAATAGACCACGGGAGAAATAACAAGCGTTTGACAGCAGCTGCACTCATCAAGTGCACTCGTCTTGTACTCGTCAAGTACAAGTATTAACCAAAGGGAAAAACCTGCAGGCACTTTTTGTTTTCTGGCATAGGGAGAAAAATGCAACTGAAAGGACCTCAGGTTGCTTCTTTCTGAATGAGGATGTCTGGAAAGTGTGTATGGAGAGAGTGGGAGTGTGTTGCATGTTTTTACACCCTTTTTTAGAATTAGTGTTGGATCTGATATGTTTTCCTGTCATGCAAGTAGCTGCAGAACATGAACAAAATGTTTACAAATTGCATGAAGGTTATAAAGTTTGTTTGCCTCAGAAGAGAAAGGAATACGGCTACTGCTTCATATCAGAAACAAAAGTTTTACATGTTTTTTACATATTGAAAATAGTGGAGTTGATCCAGTGCTTTGATATTTATAAGGATTTTATCAAAATAAAAAATTGATTTTATGAGTGTGTCTTGTGTTTTCTGTTGTAGAGATTAACATTTTAAAGAGAAGGCTGCAGTTTTATAACTAGCGCCTGCAGCTCTAGTTTTGGAAAAAACCTGTCACCCCTCATTTGAAGTCTATCTTTGGGCAGTGTAGTATTAGGTATCTTTTTTGTGTTCCAAGTAAAATGTCATTGGCAGCGGTAAGACATGCAATCAATTGTACATAAAGTTTCTGATAGCACTTTTTTAAACTATTGCCTATTTTTATAGAGTTATGCAAATAAGTTTTAGAAGAAGACATCATTCACAGTAATTCTCCTAATGTGGAGATGCTGTGTTCACATTAGGTTGACCTAGTATGGTACTGCATAGAATCATAGAATCATAGAATGGTTAGGGTTGGGAGGGACCTTAAAGATCATCTAGTTCCAACCCCCCTGCCACGGGCAGAGAAATCCTCCACTACACCAGCTTGCCCAAAGCCTCATCCAACCTGGCCTTGAACACTTCCAGGGATGGGGCATCCACAACTTCTCTGGGCAACCTGTTCCACTGCCTCACCACCCTCAATGTAAAAAATTTCTTCCTTATATCTAATCAAAATCTCCCCTCTTTCAGTTTAAAGCCATTGCCCCTTGTCCTATCACTACATGCCCTTGTAAAAAGTCCCTCTCCAGCTTTCCTGTAGGCTCCCTTTAGGTACTGGAAGGCTGCTATAAGATCACCCCAGCACCTTCTCTTCTCCAGGCTGAACAGCCCCAACTCTCTCAGCCTGTCTTCGCAGCAGAGGTGCTCCAGCCCTCTGATCATCTTCGTGGCCCTCCTCTGGGCTCGTTCCAGTAGCTTCATGTCCTTCTTATGTTGGGGACCCCAGAGCTGAACACAGTATTCCAGGTGGGGTCTCACGAGAGCCGAGTAGAGGGGCAGAATCACCTCCCTCGACCTGCTGGCCATGCTCCTTTTGATACAGCCCAGGATACGATTTGCTTTCTGGGCTGCCAGCGCACATTGCCGGCTCATGTTGAGCTTCTCATCCACCAGCACTCCCAAGCCCTTTTCCTCAGGGCTGCTCTCGATCCATTCTCTGCCCAGCCTGTACTTGTGTTTGGGATTGCCCCGACCCATGTGCAGGACCTTGCACTTGGCCTTTCATCTGGGCTGAAAGCTGGCGGTAGCATCTGAAAAACACTAGAAATGCTCAGTTGCCTGAAATCCTTCGGAAACAGCTTCCCATATCATCTCTCTGCTGTCACTGTAAGGTGAGAGCATGGATCCAGTCATGGCACTGGACACTTGATTGTATCCTCAGTCACTAACTTTATGCCCAAGCTGCACTGAATCTCAACCAGACTACATGATTGCTCTCAGGCAACTAAATCTCAAGTGTGGGCTCCGTGCTGTAATGAGATGACTCTAGAGCAGACAAGGCTAAAATATGCCCTCACCCCCCAGCCAAGTGCAGGTCTCTTTGATCAACTGTTTACCCTCTGACACACTTGAAGCCTTTATACTAAGAAGAATGAAATGCTCAGTGACCAAAAAACATATAGGGTATTTCCTGAAAATAGTAGCTGTAAAGAATTGTATATGGCTGGAAGGTTGGTCACCCATAAACATTCTCAGAATTAAATAAACCTCAGTAGAGCCTTGGGGTCAGCTCTGCTGATTTTGGCACAGGAGGGAAGCAGTGAGGTCTTCTGTGATCATAGCCTTTGCCAGTCATGCTCATGATGTCTTTCATGTCGCAAAGTCAGAGTTTAACATCAGCTGGGAATTTTGTTTATGTCAAAGGAAAAACCTGGGATTTAGCTGCCTTTCATTCTGGAGTACAGTGGGCTGAAGATCAGGCAGACATCTATTTGCTGCCGTACACCCACTTGGTACATACCTGTGCTTTCTCTGCCCCTGCAGAGATTTGTCTCTCAGTTGCTTTGGCAAACAGCACTTTGCTGGCCTTCCAGGCGTGATTTGGAACCTAAAAGAATTCAAGGAATCAATTCCAGGAAAAAAAAAACAAGTCTTCCAAATACTCAATTTTAAAGTAACTTTACTGAAAAAAGTGGAATATGACATATGAATAAAGTAACATAATAGAAAGAAATATATAATAAATTTGTCATAAACTTAACGGAGAGGAAATTCGGGATTAAGATTCTTGTAGCTTTAGGTAGATAAGTTGCAGATTGCTAGTGATAAATCTTGCCTAGCCTTCAGATGTTAAAAGTTGCAAATAATTGGGGGACTTGAAGGTTGCAGGCTCAGCATGAAGGTACGAATACCAGAGGAATGCAGCTTTAGAGATTTCTTTTGTTATTATACATTAACTAGTACAAAAAAAGCATTGTGACAATGTCCTTTATCACTCTACTTACTACTAGACAGACTACATCTAACTTCTGGCCTAATAGTTGTATTTTGTTGTTCCTCCCACAGTCTGATCTTGCTTTGTGGTTTTAGCTGTGGAGTAAAGAGTTTGTTCCATTTTTGTGTTTAATTACCATTTCTTCCCTATGCTCATTTTTCTTTGATTTGTCTTCCCTGGCATCTCTTTGATACTCAGGGTAAAAACATCAACTTGTAAAGCATCCTACAACAATGCAGTAGCATTGTATTTCCACCAATGTTCTGCACATACAGATAGTTGACTTGTTTTTCATATTGTTAAAGTCTTGTTACTGTTTGTTTGTACAGATCTAGCCTAATAGAGATTTGATCCATGACTTGATCTCTTAAATACTGTTAATTCCATGCTTTTTATTCATGAGGTGCTTCCTCTATGGACAGATGGCCTTTTCTAGGTGTCTGCTGTCTTTGTGAGACAGGACATAACGCTAAAGTGTTTAAACAAAAATGTTTCTAAATTAATGTTTTGTTTCCTCTTTCCATCAACCTCTC